TTCAGTTGATCAAAATAACCTGTCCGGATATAGTTCGAAGACGAGTTGGGGCGCCAAACTCGAAAATTCACTCATTAAACTTATTTTATCCCAAAGAACAACTTCAAATTTAAATTTATTGGGATGCTTGTGTTCCAGTTTATACGAAATAATACTACTTAATTAGACATTTGTTATCCGAGTATGCATTGTGCAGACGACGAGAAAGATACTTGTTCAGAAGCCTTCCATGGCCTGTCGCTGTAAAGGTACCTTCAGAAAATTCAACCCTTTTAGCAGAAACCGGCAAACAATTATAGACAGACATGCAAACCCGTCAGCTATAAATGTAGAGGCAGTAATTTGAGTTGCGGGCGAAAATATGGTTGTATTATTATAAGAAGCATAAACAGAATTTTTTTAGTTGACGTGCTGTTTCTCACTCGAACCAGGGACAGTCGTAGTCTTATTAGCTGTCTGTCCCTCTACCCTGCTGTAAAATCTCAAGGAGAGCTTGAACCACCCCCTCCCCCCTCTTGAACACGACGCCACGTAGTTGACTGATAGTGCACCCATCCTCATTTTGTTTTATTTCCATTTTCCGTTGGCCTGGGGTCTATTGTTTCTCGTCCACGTACTCTTTTTCTTTTGTGATAAGTGGTACATATACACGCGTCTTCTGGCGTGAGGGATGCAAGCCCTTGATTTTATCAAAAGCCTTTTTTTGTTTTTAATCGTCATCCCTTCCTCCCCTCATTGTTCCCTCCAACTCAGGTGGGATGTTTACACTGGGCAGTCAACACAACCAGTCGTCTGAATGGTTCCAACGTGGTGCTCGTGTTACTGAAACCTGTTACAAGGCCTACCACTCTTCAGAGAGCCATCTTGGACCGGAGAAAATGATCTTCTCGGATTACGAGAGACTCTCATCTGGCGACAAAAAGTACTACCTTCGGCCGGAGACTGTTGAGTCCTATTTCTACATGTGGCGGTTCACGAAGGATAAAAAATATCGGGACTGGGCTTGGGAAGCCGTAGAGGTGGGTGCATTTGGAGTTTTCCTTTTGGTCGGTTGATTGGCTGGTCCATCAACTCGGACTTTTTTTAAGCAATCGCCACCCCCCCTCCCCCCTCCCCGGGCAGTTTTTATGCAACTGTCAAAGTATACGTGGATTTAATTCATACAACCCTTTGTCTGAGGTGTGTTTGCCCTTGCGCGCCAAAGCCTTCAAAATGTGTAAACTTAAGAAGATTAGAAGGCGGAAAGACACTCTCTGGGACCCGTATTTTATTGGCGCGACGTTTCGAACTCTCACGCGAGCTCATTGTCAAGGAATAAAATAACGTACAGTTCACTGTGTATTTAGCTAAGATCTGCCGGGAACGACCTTCAGCTCTGCTATCGATTGTTTTCGCGCAACGGAAGATAGGCATCAGGAAGATCGATATGCCTGTTAACTGAATCTGCGTGCGAGTGCCATGCCTCCTGCAAGAGGCGTGAGTTTCGGTCGTCTGACTGACCCACTATTCGCACGTCTTCGAAATCAAAGCCGTGTCCTGGTATGGATGCGTGAGCGGCTACCAAAGAAAGCTTGTCATTCCGTCGCA